TATTGAATTAATTTTGTCATATTAATTGGTATGGCTTGTATTTGATAGATTTATAGATACTTCTAAGAACTGTCCCGATCTTGAGTAGATTTATTTTCTCGCCGTGCAATTGACGATCGCCTGGGCATTCAATAACTTCACGACTCGCTGACCCAGTTGTGTCTGATGTATATCTATATCGGGCAACAGCTATATAGCTTTGTATCTATAACTATAGCAGATACTTGGGGGACCGGCTAATTGTCGCTGGCACAGGCCCCATAAATCATGACAACTCGCTGAGGATGTTGGCTGATGTTGCCGTTGCCTTGAGAGAAAAACGAAGCGAGACGAAGTGGCTGGCAGCAGCGGCAGATATCGGAGTCTGTAAATCATTGCGACTACATGGCATCTGCGGCTAAGAACCGTGGCAGAATGTATCTGTATCTGTATCTGCAGCAAGCAGCTGCAATTGTAAGTTGCAACTGCAACTGCAAACGATTCGAGGGCCGTGCAATTGCCGCTTGGCTGAAAAGAGGTCAATTAGCTGCGAGGAGTTGGCCAGAAAACAAAGGATTTCGTAATTTCGCTCGCTAAACGTTTGTTTTTCGTGTTTTTTTTTGTACGCTACCAACTTCCACATTCCATAAAGATACTTTTTTGAAACGCTTACTTGCGTAATCGAAGCTCATAGGTATCTTTTGTTTCGGATATAATTACATTAGCAGCCCATGCGGCGTATACGTAACGCAGCTAGCGGTCAAACTTCTTTGATTGACGCACTCAAGGTGCCCAAGAATCTATGTATCTTTAAGTACATATACATATATACACACAAATTCGATACATTAGATCATAATTAAGTTAACTTGTCAGCCGTGTTTCAATGTCAAGCTTACGACGAGGCAAAGAAAAAGATTTATTTAATCAATTCTGAAATATGTAATTATATTCATAGGCAGTTGCGGCAGAGTTACCCTAACTGGTAGAGGTTTTTTGCTTAGGCTTGTTTCTAGTTACATGATTTACTTTTTAATTATTTATTATCGAGCAATAAATTAAATTTAATTAAAGCATATGAGATCTATTATTTAAACTTTCAATTACAAAAGAACAAGGCCGGGTCAAACATAAAATCGGTGTCTTCATATCATATTTTGAATATTATCAGCAGCTAAAGTGACTCTGATTGATAGAGACCAAAGCTGAAAGAGTATTTTAATTCCAAGCCTCACAAAAACCAAACAAACATATTTCTTATCTTGACAAATTACCCTTTTAAGTTACTAGGCCCAAAGGCAGTCGCAGGTCTGCGGGGTTTGCTCACATATAAATATAGTCATTAGCATAGGCAGTTTCTGAATTTAGTTTTTTTCAGACAACTTTCAGTTTATTTTTGGACCTGGACATCACGACTTGGTCAGATCAAATCTCCAATGCAAATCGAAAAATTCTTTATTGGCATAATACCCGGGGTAATTATCGATGATGATGCCTCATCGAGAGGTGCTTGAACTCTGTATTATTCTTTTATTTTTTTTTTATTTTTTTTGGTAGTCGAAACTCTCTAGACCCATTAATCTTTTTTGGCCATCTTTTTAAGGGCAAAGTCAGTGGGCACGTGGCAGCGGCTTTTGCCTTTGGTTCTCGCCCTGAAATGTCAAGAGGTGAAAGACTTAAGCTCCGTGTATAAAATGTCATATATCTTGCATCTATAACTTGCCTTCTATGCATAATATAAAATATATGTTATTTAATGTGTTTTCTGCTTTGCGTCAGTGTTTTCTTCTACTCAATATTTTATTTAATATTCTGAGGTCACCGGCATTCCGATACCAATTCAAAATGCAGCCAAAAAACTCCAAATACAGCGCCTCAGAATAAAGTCGAAGAGGAGAAAAATATTATTATAAAAACTCGATTTCTCGTTTTTTGGCTGATTATTTATGCAACTAGAAGATGGGCAACGAACGCACCTCTGTTATAAAAATATTCACACAATCTATATGTATATATTTGTATCCTAAAGATAAAGCCATAGATGCGAAAGTTTGCCTCCGATTTGATTCGATTGCGCCGAGACTTGGCTTCGCTCGTTTGGAACTCATATGTTTATAAACTGCGAAATGCGAAATCCGCTCAGCGGGATCCTCAAATGTCAAATGGTGCATGGGAAACACACAATTAGCATTTTAATAATGAGCAGTACGCCTTCGGTCGGGTTGCTTTTGTTGTAATACATGAAAATCGAAGCACATGATGCTGGGCAAAAATATTTGGCGCTATTCTTTGATAATATATATTCACCAAATTTGCTTTGTTTATTTAAATAGCTTATCTATTCAGCTGAAACTTTCCAAAGTTTATTATTAATAAAATACTTCGAATTATATAGTGGTCTTTGAAAGGGGTTACTTTGCAATTAAATTAAAGGATCGAAAAGGAAAGGGATCGAAATTTTTCCACAAATCAAAATTTTAAAAACTCATAATTAAGCCAAAAAAGCATTCATTTTAATTCGGAAAGCTTTCTCATTTTAGTTTTTATTAGGTTAATAAATCTGCATACTAAATTTAACATTTTAAACAATTTAAATTTTTTGTAAATTTTTGACAATTTCAACAATGTAAAAAATTTGAAAAAATTTAAAAAATGTTGTTTCTTTATAAGATGGCTAGAAAGATTCGCCTGTTGATGCTGATCAAGAATATATATGATTTATGGGGTCGGAAATGACTGCTTCACTGCGTTTTACGCTTCTGACTTAAATTATAATACCTTTTCAGTAATATTATATCGCAGAAAATCAAATCAAAGCAAATTCCTTTTTGGAAATTACTTATATTAGTAAAGAGGCGTTAAATATTTCCCTATATTTTTATTAAATCCTTAATTAAACTCTGCTGCCATTAAACTGAAATGCAACCCCCATTAAATTGTTTAATCCTTAAGGGCCTAGACCAAAGAAACCCACTCTTTTTGAGCCTCGTTAAGAGGACATTCCAAGAGCTTTATGGGACAGGCGGGCAACTGGGAACAACAACGTTTCAAAGCAATCTGGCCAAGAGCAAGAGCAATTGTTAATATTTGCGAACCAATTGACACAGCCTCTCGATCAGCCTCTCTGGTGTCCATCAAAGGTTCGAGATGCCTCTGACCCTGACACGGATTTACCACTTGGATGTGGATGTGGATGTGGATGTGGAAATGAAGGTGGTTGTGGATGTGCCCCCTCAAAGGGGACAAGTGCTTACCTCTCTTATCACGGCCACTGGCGATGGGCTGGGGCTCTGAATCTTGAATCTGGCCGGGAAGGGGAGCACTTGTGATGTTAGTGCTGGTATGGAATCCGTGCGGCAGGTTGGATACTTTGGATACTTTCGCGGCATGTGAGGGTATGGGTGCGGGTACTTTGGTGGAGTGTTGGGGTGTATTATAGCCGGAATCGACACTGGCCAGCGATATGAGCACAACGAGTAACGTGGGGCGTAACATTATCACTTAGTTTCTGTTGTTTTTCACGCGAACGTAATAGACACCAATTGTACTTAATGCGCGCCTCGGAGAAAGCAGTAACCTCCGATCTCGAGCTGTAACTGACTGACTGTGGCCGAATGTGTCTCTTTCGATCTTGGTCGCCTAAGACGAGTATTTGGTATGCAGCTCTTCGCTTTCTAAATTATCAATATTTAGATATCGGATCAACGGTCTTTTGTCTTTAATAAATTCAAATACTTGGCGTTTCTCCGCCCAACTATCATCGATAGAGCGACGGGGGCGGGGCAAAGTCTTCAATACGGGGCCATTAGTTTGCGCCTCCGAAAACTGTTTAAGATCGCTGGCTCCAGGGTTCGATGCCTGAACGCGGATTAAGTAATCGTAGCGTCGCGTCGCGGTCGGGATCTCCTAAAAAAATTCACTTTCTTTCCGCTTTCGCAGAGAGCGCAGAGATTCAACCAAGATTAGACTTGGAGAACTGGAGCTGAGGTCTCCTCTCACTTTTATGGTTCGCTGTGAACCGATCTTAAAAGTTGCTCGCATTCGTGGCCGATCTCTCAAAGAGTCAGCACCTGGGCTTGGGCTCCGCTTCTTTTTCTTTTCGTTAGCTTGGACTATACCTCGGAATATATTTCCTGCGATCGCAAACTTACAGACTAAAGCGTTTGAACGCAACTAAAACGAGTTCCTCGCTTGATTCCTCTCCGAACCTCGCTTGGTTCGCTTGGTTCGCTTGGTCAGCTGCCAGCTGCTCCGATCTGCAATCTCCGATCTCTCTTCTCTCTCTCCGAATATGTCGCTGCAGGTCTACGTGTCTCCCAACCCGTTTGCGGTGACCAGACCCAGACGCAGGCCTGACCAGATTACACACCTCTCCTGTCGTGGGGGCCCATCTCATGGCGTTTAATTACAGGTGTGCAATAGATGAAGATGATGGTCGGAACGGAATGGTATTCATTCTCTGCAGCATGTCAGGCATATGGATGTTGTGGGTTATTTTTAGAGACGAAGTAACTGCAGCAAAAGACCTTGAACTGGGACAGAAGTACCTTAAGAGGAGCTTCTTAATCAGGCTACTTAATTAATCCCAAGGGACTATATAAAAGGAAGATATTCATAGTTTTTTATGTGCAAAACCAGACCCACCTACAGAAGGCATCGAAAACCATCAATTTGTCTATTGTGATCTTAGCTTAATTTTAAAGCCCGCAATTTGATATAAATTTAAGCAAAACAATAAAACTGTCAAATATAATAAATTCTATATGCATTTCAGTTTTCTTAAGGTTTCTAGTCAGCGCCATAAGAGGTATAAACTGGTTAACTATAGCTTAAAATATTCAGTGACGCTTGAAAGCAATTTAAGAAATCTGCTAAAGGGTATTTAAACATTCGCAAACCCCAAGCTGAATTTAAAATAACCAAGGGCCAGCCGCTGTGTAACTTGATCTTTTTCCAGAAGCTTCAACAAATCGTCTCCTGTGGTTTTCACACTCAAAAAACAATAACAAATTGTATTTTTTAATATTGAAATTTTGTTTAATTGATGCCAAATGTAACATTTACTTAACTGTTGTCTTAATATGCAATATGGGTGGTTAAAGAAGGGAAAGGTTATTGCCATATCCGAATTTTGACGACATCTATAAATTTGAGGAGTCTTAGAGGGGATCTGTCGAGGTTCGGAGAGCGTGTACAAGTCCGGTTAATGGATCAGGATCAGAATTTTGTGTTGGGTCTACTTCTTCTTTTTGCCCTTGCCCTTCTTGCCTTTCTTGCCCTTTTTACCTTTCTTGCCCGCATTGAGCATGTCCTCGGACACATAGGTCTCCGTGGTGACCTTGCTCACCGGCAGATTCAACGCCTGTTTGGGGGTCCTCAACTCAATCTCAATGGTGTTCTTCTTGTGCTGCGACTTGGCCTTGCTGCCCAGTTTAACCAGGAAGACATCGCTGTCGGTCTCATCGCAGGTTTTGTAGCAGACCTGAGGTTAGGGGTGGGAGTTTCCATAAATATTAGTAGAGTTTGTAAGTAATAACCAAAATAAGTTAAGAGGAACAGACTTGGCCTAACAAAAAACCACCTAATTTGCGGTTGCACCTGTTACGACCACATGCATCTCCTCTGAACGATTACCGCTAATAAAAAAAACCTATGGAAAGCTGTAGCAAAGTGGTGTCTGCTCCACACTTGGAGCTAGTGCTGGAACAGATGTTATGCAACTGCCACACAATTGGGGCAATCGGGAGCCTTCCAACAAGACACCGGGTTTCCGTAGCTGCCGAAGTTGCACCACTTGCCACAGCACTTAGAGGGGCCCAGTCACGGATCGAAAGCGATCCATTCGCACACGTAACCAGCGATCCCGCTAAGGAATGCGGAGGCGATCTCACCGATTACATTGATCGCTGATTACAAATTCTTAAAATATGACAAAAAACTTGGATTACCAATTCTCGAAGTATAAAAAACCAGATTTGAAACTACCAATTACATATAGGAATTAAATAGACACTAAAAACTATCAATAAGCAAGTAAACTATTTGAAAAGACACCTCAGTGAAAGGAAACAAACTTTGGTAAGGTTTATTTACCTTTCCAGTTTGCAATCGAATTATAGAAATTATAGAAATTGATCATAAGTAAGCTTAAAATTTTAACAATTTTTTCGACAAATCAACATTTAAATAACTCTTAACTAAGCCAAAAAAGCATTAATTTTAATTCGGAAAGCTTTCCTAAGTTGGTTTTTATCAGGGGTTCAAAATTGCATAATAAATTACTAACTTAAAAAAATGAACATTTTTGACAATTTTAACCCCTTATAAAATTTTGAAAAAATTTCAAAAATGTATTTTTCTCCCAGATATACCTAGATCGATTCGGCTGTTGATTCTGATCAAGAATATATATTATTTATAGGGTCGGAAATGATTCCTTCATTGTGTTATAAGCTTCTGACTAAAATTAAAATATCCTTTAAGGATCTAAACTATCAAGAATCAAATCCTTAACTGATATCTATATATCTGTAACTGAACTCACCTCAATGCCCTTGCGCCTGGTATCCAAATTGACGCCCTTCATGGTATCCATGATTTCCCTTCCCTCGGCCTGCATGCAAACGGTGCGTTGATTCTTGGTAGGGATTTGGGCCGGAACGTTGCGATCAGATCCGCCGGAGAGCCGGTGACGATAGCGATCCACCTTGGCCTCCTGCTGGTCAAAGGCCTCCTTGATCTTGGAGAAGGGCACATAGTAGTTGTCCGTCTCGCCGGCATCGTTGCCAGAGTACTTGATGTTGGCCCGAACCTTCGGGATGTTTGGATGATTGATGATACTGCCACCCGTGCGCCGCTTTATGTGATTCCTGGCAATGGAACTGCGCTGCAGCATATCGTGCAGACCGGACTCATGTTTCGGTTCATTGGCACCGCCATTATCATCATCATCGTTGCCCAGACCAGCATCCGCGGCCCCATCATCAACGCTCTCCACCTTGTGGGTGTTCTTAAGGACGCGTATAGTCAGGCCGCTGCCATTCAGACAGGCCTCGAACTCGTCGTAGGCCTCCGGTCCTGGATCAGGCCGAGTGGGTTGGATGAAGCAGGGTGCCAGCTCTGGACTGCAGTCACAATCGCAGGTGCACTGGCAGCAACCCTCGCAACCATCGTCGACGGGATCTGGCGATTGCATTATAAATCAATCAATCAATAACCAATCTGAATCCCGTGATCCAAAGTGGACTTACTCTCGTTCATAGGCTTAAGCATTTCATCGGTGATCTTGAAGTTGCAGTTAACCTTTGGCTTCCTGCCCTTCTTACCCTTTTTCTTGGCCATGTTTCTTGACTAAATGTGATTACTCGTGTGTCTGATGTGTTTTGAAAGACCTCTATTTATCAATTTGGATATTGTACTTCAGCATCAAATGGCGCAGTTTCCGTATTGCTCGCTTTCGCGCTGCAACGATAAAGGATTAATACGCGATTACTATTTAATTTTAAGAACTATTCCAAAATTACACACGCACTGATCTGGATATGGGTCTGTGTATTGGGTTCAATATGTTTATCCAAAAAATTCGCGTTAGGAAACGAAAGAATTTAATTTTTGTTTATTTTGTACGGCAGACAACATTTCCCATTTGAATCTAAAACGAATACAAATCGAGCAACGACTGCTCACCCCACGACTACTTGGAGTTTACTGGAGTTCAGAGCGTTTTGGAAAAGCAATGGTGGAAAATAATCTCATAGCTTACTTGGTTTTTTTTTTGTTCTTTAAATTTAAACTCAGGGAGGTCTTAATTTAAATAAAATTTACAAGTAATCATGGTACATATTAAAGTAAACATAGCGTTTTAAAATGTTTAAAAACCAAAACAAAATGTTTGCGCACGGGAAATCAACATAATTAAGATACTTGTAAGCTCTGAATTGATATTTTTACACAGGATTTTTAATTAAACAATTTTAATACCAAAAAAGTTAGGATAACTCAGCGGTTTTCGACTCACCATCTTCGCAGGCCACATTGTAGTTTGCCTGACATGACTCGCAAGTTCTCCCCAGTTCCGTGGCCGCTTTTGTTTGCATGATCCTTGTCTTTTTGTTTGCTTGCAAAGCACCTTCACAAACGGGTTCACATCCAACTTCATAGACCGCAGAGGGACAGCTTAGATCGCCCACACAATTGACGGCACCTCCTTTCTGTCGCTTCTTGCCATCCTTGCCCTTGTCATCCTTTCCATTTTTGCCGTTCTTGTCCTTAGTATCGTCCTTTGACTTGCCCAATTGCTCCGCGACCTGGCGCTCCTGGATAAATCGGGGATGAGGCTGTATACCGCCACAGGGACCGCACTTCTGGAGCTTCTTTTCGATGGGCGAAGGAGGACACCGCTTTGTGGGAACAGTGGGACACTCTGGGGAATAGTATGGTGGGTTTATGATTAGGCACACAATTATTAATTAATCGTTAAAGGTTATAGATTAAAAGAATTGTTCTAATGATCCTGATCAATACGAACCCCTATCAAACTCGTCCTCACAGTAATCGGTGGGACAGAGCTTGTCCACGTTGCAGGCGTAGTAACGCAGGCACTTGGCTACGGGCTCCACACGCGGGGCGCAGGGATCCGCCATTCGGCATTTCCTGGTCGGTGGCGGCGGACAGCAGGGGTTGCTCTTGTTCATGGGTCCACCGGTGGCTGTAGCTGCCGCTGCGCAGGGATCACTGGGGCCGCATGGATCACACGGATCGCAGGGCTCGCCAGGTGGACAGGGTGGCGGTGACTTGGGATTTCTCGAGCAGATGCGACTGAAGGGGAACGAGGAGACAATGGTTGGGCCATTGCAGACCAGGCGCATGATGATCACAATATTGCCAGTCTGCATCTTGCAGAGATTGAACAGGGGGAGCAGGCGCTTTGATAGCTCGGAGGTGGGACACCACTGTTCGTGGCGCTCGTTCAGTTTCTCATAGCAGGAGCAGTTGTCCAGCAGGCCCTTGCTGTTGGGACCCTTCATCCGAGGCAGCTGGGCCACGTGGCCCAGCATGGCATTCTCCCAATTGGGATTCTCGGCGTCAAAGGACTCCTTAACCCGATCAAAGATCGGTTTTATCGCCACCTCCGTGAGGCCGATGAGGAACTTACAGCTTTCCGTGCGTTTCTTATACACATGCACCAGTAGCTTGTCCTTGTCGGTGATTGGTGACTCCAGGGTGAAGAGGGCACACTTGCCGCACTTGGGCGAGGAGGGATTGACGCAGCATCCCACCTCCCTGTCGCATATGCTCACGTACACCGACGACCGGAATGTTATCTCCGTGCAGGTGGGATACTCCTCCGGAGCGCATAGATTCTGGCGTGTGATCAGCAAATCGTCCACCACAAACTCGAACATGTACAGGAAGTTTCGGGCAATCTTCCCAGATTTCTCTTTGTCCTGGTTCTCAGACATTTCGTTAAATACCAAAAAAAAAAAGACTATGTGCGAATTTTATATGGTCAAAAAACAGTAATTTAAAGTAGAAACAAGCCCGACTCGAAATTTTGAAAATAAAAGATAAAATTATGAATTTGATTTTTACGGCAATGCCGAAACCGGAAGAAACTAGGTGGAGACTATGCTGAACTGATAACTGATAACTAAACTGGCTACCCAAGGCCTACTGGGAAGCAGGTGATTAATTAGGTAACTAAGCTAATAATACAAATTCTATATCATCGTTGGAATATAATATTTACATTAATTCTCTTGAAGATAAAAAACTTACTGTATTTTCAAAGTTTACAGTTTGCTATCGAATTATATGATCGATCCTAACTTAGCTTAAAATATTCGGATTCTTTAAATAGTTATTTATCGATTTCTTATATGACAATTTGGCCGACTAATCATTACTTAAAAAACTCATAACTAAGTCAAAAAAGTATTAATTTTAATTCGGAAAGCTTCTCTTTGTTAGTTTTTTGTAAGTTAATAAGTCTGCATTCCCAATTTAAAAGTTTAAAAAATTCAATTTTTTGAATCATTTTTTACAATTTTGACGATGTAACCCCTTATCTTTTTTTGAAAAAATTTAAATAATTTATATTTTGGCCGTACATAGCTAGATTGACTCTGCTGTTAATGCTGATCAAGAATATATATGATTTATAGAGTCGAAAATGACTCCTTCAGATCGTTACAAGCTTCTGATTAAAATATTATAACCTTGCAAGGGTATATATCATATATGTATATAATTTATAGTGATTAAAATGACCTGTCACTACGTTCCAAACTTCCGACTAAAATAATAATTTTACATCAAATATAAAATGCATTCCACATTCTTTCATTCAAATTAAGATATTAATAACCTGTTCTAAATCGAACTAAAAATGAATTTTACTATTAATTAACCTTTACAAGATGCGAACATCTCTTATTGGCATTGCATAAAGACGATGCCTTAAACTCGATTTACTTGTATTATCGGCAAGCAATAACATTCTTCGTTTATACACAAGTTGACCTCCACAGATAATTAAGGGGGTAGACCACCCTGACATTTTTTAAAAATCTAATTTTTTTTTTTAATCAATCTTGATGCTGATATTCTTACGGTCATTTTAAGACATCGGGCTTAAAAATATCTCGTTACTTGTGGATTCTACAGCCATTAGAAGTGAGCGCTGCCGGTATACCGTAGAGTACTTTCTTTATCTTCTTTTGCGTTTTTCTCAAAACAACGTTTTTTAAAACGGTGTACATGATTTCTCAAAAACCGCCGGACCGATTCTCTTCAAATTTTTTACACAGCTTCTCTATAATGCCCTCTATGGCATGACGTAGGATTTTTTCGATATGTTTTTTTGTTTTAAAGTTATAAATTTTTAAATCAAAAATTTTGTTTAAAAAAAAAATTTTTTTTTTCAAAGTGCTCCCATTTGCTAAAAAAAAATTATTTCCAAAAACGGCTACGTCATGCTATAGCCATACTTATATAGCTTATAAAAAATTTTTGTTTTTGAATTTCGGATAACAAATGTGGTGTGCAGCATGTACACCATCCGACCATTCCCTAAAAAAAATTCGTTTTTTGACTGGCTATATCTCCGAGGTTCGTAAATATTTTTTTTTCTTTCAATAAGTATTTTTTAGTTTAACATATGTTCTTTGATGTACTAATAAATAAAAAGTTGTATTCCCAATAACTTAGTCAAAATGAATTTTTGAAAAACCCTCCAAATTTCATGCGTTCAGGGTGGTCTACCCCCTTAAATTAAAGACGCCGTCAGGGTTGAGGTTTTCTAGCAATGCATAAAATACTTTATTAATGTCATAAATGTTTCTACAAAAGTGATTGATCTACTTCGCAATTAATCGCAGTTAATAAGCGGAGGCGCTGCCTTGACAAACCAAAGCCCCCCGGGTCGGGCGTTCGAGAAAGAAACCCTAGAAAAGAAAAGCTCGCCTAATATAGTAACCAAGATGTGTAGCCAACAAAAGGAATGGACTCGGCAGAATTACAAACTAAATAAGAACAGGAATAATAAACAAAACAAAAAGTCGGGGGCCATTGAACTTGAGGGATTCAAATCGTTTACAGAAATCGCATTACAGAATATATTCTTTTTTGAAGCACTGTGATCCTGAGAGGTACATCCTCCTCCGGGACTCCTTATCCTTGGCTCTACACGACACTAACGTCATGGGGCCTGAAAGGAGATGGGCGGAAAAAGCCGCGGCCATTGCACAAACTCGATGCCATAGTGCAGAATGCCGGTGGCGCTCACTGCAATCATGGCTCCCCAGAAGAGCATAAAGAGTAGATTTTCCGTATTAAACTCCGCTGGATAAGTCATGGTTATCATGAACATGGCCACCGCCATCAGTAGCACCGAGGGGAAGGTGAAGAACCGCCAGCCGCGCTGCGATTCCAAGGGCGATGGCACTGCGCCGCCCTCATTATCGTTGATAATATATTTTCCGAGAAACAGATCCAAGCCATCCTGCCGCTGTCCGTCGGCAAAGTTGTTTAGATAATATCTCATAAGCGAGTTCTTACCATCCTGGATTGCTCCAGCCTTAGTTCGCTTGCCCGTCCGCGTGAAGTCCGTCTTGAGCGCTCCCGTTCCGGAATATTGTAACGAAATCAGATCCGCATTATCGGCCCACACTCCCTTGAAGCGACTCTCGAAACTTCCGGCAGCATGCTCCACTTGCTGGCCGACATGAAGAACGCCCAGCTTCTGAAGCACAGCCGTAAGAGATCTCCGGGCCAACATGCTCTGAACCACATTTGTCCGATCCAAGCAGTCGATGCAGTTCGTCCGGAAGACTCCGGTCTGCGTTGACACCAGCTTGCCGTCGTCGAAGACGTGATAGAAACCGAACTGACTTTGCTCGTAGGCCAGTCGATCGATGAGTATGTTTAGCCTCTCCCATCGCATCTTCCGGCACTCATGATGAAAGTCAAAGGCCTCGTAGCGCACACGCTTGTCGCCCAGTTCTCGAATGAGGCGGGCATACGTGGCCTCCAGTTCACCCTCGGCGCCCTTCTGGTCCACCAGATTAATGGCCACATTGTTGCCGTACAGACGGATTTGATCGTTGAAATGCAGACTGCAAGCAGCCAGGTGATCTTTGCCTGGCACCAGTTTCGGACGCGGCTTGTAGCGTAGATTGGGCAGTTGGTGCCAGTGAAACGGCATGCTGCCACGCGTCTGCACGAATCCGGTAAGCTGCCCGTTGAATTCCACTATCTGCTCCGTCTCCACAAAGTTGGCCACGTGGCCCTGCTCGTTGCTGCCGCGGCAGAAGAGTCGTGTGCCGGCCCGCTCCACCGATCGTCTCGTCACGATGCTCCAAAAGAACGTCTGTCCGTTGATCTGCACTTGGTTAATGGACACAAAGCCCAGAACCAGCGGCAGCTGGAATCTCTCCATCTTGTTGCAATTGAACTGCCTTAACACAAAGCCGTTCCACACGAAGCGCTGATCGGCCCTTTGCAGCAGACTCTGCCGCTGCTCCGGATTAGCGGTGGCCAGCTCCCGCTGACGCTGCAACGAGTGGGTGAGGTCGTAGCGGTAGGAGAAGTAGAAGTACTTTGAGTCCAGCGTCTGGCGTAGCAGGCGGAGGTACGTCTCGTTCTCCTTCCGCTGGATGGCATTGGGAATGTAGGGAATGATGTCATAGCCGGCCAGTCGCCACACAATCGAACCGTTGAGGACGCCGACAAAGATGCGATGCGTGGCCACCATTAGATAGTCGCAGCACAGTAAATGTATGGTGCCCAGCACTCCACAGATTCGTCGCGTGGGCCGCAGGTTCGCCAGCTGACCTCCGCTCGCTGGCTGGACTCTGGTGACCTTGTCGTGGCGGCCAATCACCAGCACTTCCTCCCCGCCATTGGGCTCCACGATGAAGCTCTCCGGGGTGATGTACAGGTTCATGTCATCGTACACTGGGTTGGCCTCCTTGCTATCCATGATTCCCGGGGGCGGTGGCGAGCCCAAGTTAAAGTCTGTGCGGGGAGAAGAGCACAAAAAATGTAGATTAATTTAAGGTCTAGCTGCACCTGTGCTGCTTCCTCTTCTTCTTGTTCCACGGGGCGGCTCTCACTTTCTGTAATCAGGAAATTCCCGTCCTTATCGCTGCTGTTGCACACGCACAGCACCAAACAGAGCAGCAACAGCCAAGGCCTCAGCAGTTTTATTGTCGTTTTTATTGATTTAACACAGTATGCGTTTCATCAAAGTTCTTTTTCGCCAACAATTTTTTTATATAGAGTGCTGCCAGATCGTTTTTAGCTGTCATGTCGCGGTCACACTAAAATTGATGTGGGGAAAATAAAATCCAAACAAAAATTGTCGTGAGGATAATAAGTTCACACTAAAATTGCCGTGGGGAAAAACTGGAACAAAAAAACAGCTGGCGCTGGCGGGACTTTTGAAACTCTAGAAATGTTCTAGGAAACTATGTAAAATTCATGAAATCTTTAACGCTCACTGCAGAATTTGAATTGAAGCTCGTAAAGAATAAAAACTGTGACGAAACTCAGAAGGGATTATTATAATAACGTACCTGAACACGAGCAGTCTTTATGAAACATGAAATGAATAATTGAAACTGTTAACTCTTTTAATTTTAGAGGTATAACAACTTACCAACATCGGGCCCATTCCTAATTCTACACCAACCAAACCATCTATTCATTTCTCCTTGTTTTATAGTATCATAATTTAGTTTTTTTAAATATGGAAAATGGTGACAATTTTTTATATGATACTATGATAAGGCTAAAATCCAAAACAAAGTAAACCTTAAATGTCAATTATTATACTGTGGTTTTATTAATATAAAGCTATTTCTGACTGTAGCACTGTCAACGTTCGTTAAGCGTTTAGAAAAAGGTCATAAAGTTAAAAATTTCGGTGTCGGACTGAGTGAGTGTATGTGTATGTGCTTCTTTCGACGTTGTGAGGAGTTTAAGGTTTTTGCTGCATTAAAAGTAGAAAATCTATATCGAAAAATACTTGACTGACATCCGCAGGCAACTTGCTGCCGCCTCCTTTTGGTACGAACTTTGTACATTACAAATTAAGACTTAGGCTAAACTGATGCGGAAGTTAGTGCATTAAGTAGACGAGAATGGCGGCGAGCGCGGTGGCCAGCAGTCCGGGAAGACCGGAACCCAGGGACGGAGCACCGCCCGTCCGGCAGTAGTAGTCGCCGCAGTCCGCCTCCGAGATGGTCTTGTATTTCTCGAGGACATCAGACCATTTGCACAGGCCAACGCTGCACCAGTCCAGCTGCACTGCATCCTGGTTGAGGAAGAAGACCACCTTTTCTCGGTCCAATTCCGCAGGACAGTCGTACTTCACCGCCACGAAGTTGCCGGCAAAGGGATCGATCAGGCTGCTCTTCCAGCGGCGGCTGCTCATGCTGTCGGAGTTATCCGCCCGCAGCGGAATGTCATCTTTCCTCATGCCCAGCGCCGTGAGCAGGGTCAGCAGACCCGTGGAGTGGCCGAAATGGGCAACCACATGGGGCGAAACTGGGTTGCTCAAGTGCGTCAGCAGATCCTGCACCAAACGACAATTGAGGCGTCCGGTTTCCGGGAAGCCATAGCCGGATCCCCAGTAGTACTTCAGATCCTCGGCATACTCGAACACGGACACTTGCTCGGGCAGGAAGGCGGTGCACCAGGCGCTGCTCCTGTCCACCTGCCAGGCCTGCTCATAGCGGCACATGTCGTACATCAGCTTGATGTCCTCCTCCTCCAAAGTGTACTGGAAGCTGTGGATGTAATATATTTGTAATAACTCCTGAATTTTAAGCCGACCACTACTCACCCCAATCGAGTGGAGATGTCCTTGAGGGTGTTCGTCCACAGGCTGGCCTTGTGATACTTCTCGTACTCGGATCCCTCACCCTTGTAGTTCAGATCCTTGTACGACTGGCAGTAGTCATAGGGACGCAGGAGCAGATCCTCCTTGGGAATCTCAACAGGATGGGCAGCATTGACAGTACCGAAAAGACCCTCGGTGAAGGCCCTGAAGCTTTCCCTGGTGCGCTGGGTATCGGTGTGACGGAACTGGAAGGGATTACACCAGATATTAGTTAAGGCCCCTTAAAGATTAGTATCCAACTCCGACCCCCACCTGATAGTAGGTATCGTTGTACTCCTTGGGCAGAACGCCGGGATAGTATCGCTGGTACAGCTTGGCCGTGCCTCGGAGATCATCGTATCCCTGGCTGGTTAGATACTCCTCCTGGTCGGGTGTAATGCTGGCATTCCACCTCCACATCTGGAGGGCTAACAAGTCCGTGCTGCACAGCGCATCCGTATCCGGCTTGGTCTTGGCCACCTTGTAGTTGTTCACGATGAGATCACGGAGCTGAGAATGGGATTAAAAACCAATTATGATTATTAAACAGATTAGCTTAGCTAAAAAACAATATCAAACTTGATTTTATATCACAAAATATGTATATTGTCACCTTGAAAAATATACTATTGCCCATCATTAATTTATTAAGACTGTTCTGAATACAAACCATGTACTTGTGAAATATATTACGTCGTTAAAATGAAAAGCTTAATACTTTATGATGCTTGTAATATATTGCTTCCAAAGCTGGGATACAAAACAAAAACTGTTTAGCAATAAAAAATATCAGTAGCCCAAATAGCATTAATTTTTAAGTACTATACTAATAACTACTTAATATTATTTAGTATATCGTATAAAAAAATCTAAGGCGGAAAGTTCTTAAGAAATTGTTGCTAGATGCATGTTGCTTAGCAAATGATTCTAGAAACATGTTTAGAAACATATGGTGTTGCTGTCAATTTATAGATGTTGCACAGCAATTAACAACTTCCAAGTTTATTATCCAATTGTACTCTATTTTTGGGGAAAACATCCACACATGTATTTAAAAATAGGAAACTACAGTAATTAGCTCACTAAGCGGCACCTTTTGTTTAGATGACCTCAAAAATTTGCAATGAATTCCATTTGCATAAGTGCATTTTTCGAGAAAACTTTTTACAAACCAAGAGCAATTAAAAGCTCAGCTAAGCGAATCAATAGGCAGTATGAGTTTACATTGTAAACTTATGTATTCAGGACTCACCTCCGCCGCACGGGCTGCATTGTTGATCATGCTCTTCTTGGGCAGCCGGGTTCCATGACGATGGAAGATCCACATCTTCTTGGGCTCGCAGCCGGGCACCAGATACTGCCGATCAATGTCGCTGCCCTTGACGATCTGGTAGGCGGTCTTCGAGGAGAACTGGCGTGTCTGCAGGCGCGAGGTGTCCTGGGCGAAGCAGTAGTCATCACCGCGGACGAGGGCCACCAGGGGCAGCAGGAGGAGCAGCAAGCGCATGTCTCTGGGGAGGAGAACAAAAAAACAACCAAAGAAAAGTCAGCTTGAGGCGGGAAAAAGGGTTGCACGAATATTTAAGTGGCGGCCCAGCCTTTCCTTCAGCGCATATCCTTGAAATGTCGCCCTGTCCAACTGGCGGCTGACTAAAGCTATGCCCTAATGGACAGGAGCAGGACCACGAGTGTCATATGTGGATCGCCGCCATCGCAGCACAGACTACAGACTACAGACAGCGGAAAGGTGTGGCATTTAAATTGCTTCGCTGGCGTCTGGCGAGGAACGGAACCAAAGGAACCCAAGGGCTCCAAGGGCTTCAAGGAAGTCGAACTGGGAGGGGCACCACAGAATCGAATTGAATGGAATGGCGGCAGGGAATGGATGGAAATCCGGAGTTCCAAGGAGCTCAAAGGAAATGCCAGCACACACGCACCCACAGCTGGCCCTGAAAATTAGGCTAATGATTTTCGCTGACAAATTGCTGCAGTTCGTCGTTCTCCACGTGGCTTTTGGCCATCAGTCCCAAGTCCATCAACTGTCCAACGCCGCCTTCACACCCCGCCTTTCCCCCAATTAGGTCAGGCCAACAAGTCGCGATTGCCCATAGATTGCCCATAAAAGATTGTAATGTTTCAATTTAGGGCCCGCATCCATCCAACTTTGATTAATCAACCTCCTTTTCGGGGGGAAACCCCTTCGATGGGGACACAATGGCTCATTAGAGCATGTATTCGACAGCTTGTAACATGAGCTAAATCTAATCACAAGCAGGCTTGTGTTTGTACCTCAATCATTACTACTGGAGGGTTACTTTTTTAGAGTTTTTCCAAGCAAAATAAGTATGAAGAAAAAATTGAAGTCGTTGTACTGCCGGAACAGGCCTTCGGCCAGTCTGAAAACAGCAATATTTTCATTGTGAGTATTAAGAAAAGATAAGCTATGGAAGTATAGTTTTCACAGCATAACTAATTATTTCAATTACAATCACAGTGCACCTTCCGCTGCTTGCTTTGGTCTGGCTGCGGCTATTGGTGTTGTCTACTTCACCGAATGGAGGGTTGTTACCAATTGGATCCCCCTATATAATATGAAATATCCCAAGCCGGAAAAGAAGTGATTCTCTCACTAATTTTAAATCTTTACGCATGAAGAAAATGTATACACGGACCCTTGAAAATCATGCCTTACGTTGAAATTAAACCAAATAAATGCTTTTAACAACATTGAATGGAAAATGTGGTGCTATGTTTTCTCTTGAATTTATTTTAAATGCCTTTTGCGGTTTAATGTTACTGTGGTGTTTGGGCAATGCATTTGGTGGAACACGCTTCCAAAACAAATAAATGCTCTGCCAGTCAAAACACGAATCAAAAGAACAACAAATAATAAATTGTTGCCACAGCACCCGAAATAGATGAACCAAAAATTTCGCCCCCTAAAAACCCCTCAAAAAGAACTACTTTTTTTTTGGTGGGGTTTTGTGTTTACAATTTCGCCCCCATCGATCGTATCGTATCGAATTAGATCGGATTGGATCGGAGGCTGGCAAATGCAGAGTTGGGCAACCTGTTGCAGAAATGGAATACTGACGTACAGAGAAAAATACAATTAACATTTAAATATCTTTTAAGATTTTGGAAATATTGAAAAATAAATATTTGGGAGAGTTGTTTTTTAAACCCGTTTAGAAAAAGGTATCAATATATTATTCAGTATCTTTAATTAAAAATATCAAACACTATCAATACAAATTAAAGCTAAATCAATCAATTTTTTGTTATGAAAGTTATGCACATCATTAGCCTTCCCACTCATTAATTTTAAATGCATTTTATAAATATATCTTGAGCTCCTTTTTCTCCCTGTGCTGCTGTGACGTCATTGGCATAGCATTGACAGCTGCAATTAGCTTGTGAAATTTCCAATTACATTTCCCAGGCGCGGAAGGCCAAAAAAGCGGAGGAACTGACGCATCACGCATCTAATTCTAATGCCTTCGCCTCCGTCTCCGCCTCCGCCTTCGGATGCCTGGCATCTTTGCATTTTCAAGTGCAAATAATTGCCTCACATGGCAGTTGGCATTCGTCGGATCGGTTGCACTTTTCTGTTTCCCCGTACCCTCGATATATATTACTATTACTCGATCTCCGATCTGCGAGATCCCTCCCCAGGCGGCACTCCCCTAATCAATTGAATGCGCCGCCTTTGTTTGCATTTTCCAGTCACAGAACACACATAACCCATCGTCATCGTGCCCCCAAACCCCAATCCATTTCTAGTTTTGTGTGTTTTCTCAATGCGAAATTAAAATTACAACTTGACTGCCATCTCTCGTGTTTACTTGGCGGGCTTTTATGAACTCTCGCACTGCCACCAGTTTAGTTATTGTAAAACAGATTCGCCACGAGATGGAAAACTAATTTAATCTGGAAAATAATATTTATTATACTCCATTTGTTTTGTATTTGCGAATGAGTGAAGTGTGTGCGTGACATTTGGCTAATTTCCTCGATATGTATACTTATATTTGCAGCTCCCCTTGGCTGCCCCTCCTCTCCATTCAATAATTCCCTAGTTTTTATAATTTTAAGAGATCTGCCCTCGTGCTGGTTTCATCGGCTGGTTTTTGGTTTTTTTAGAGCATTGCCCATAAATCAAAACCAGAAATATATTTTCAGTTTCTGTTTTTTGCTGTTTCCATTTTACCTAATTTATTGTGGGTTCAAATTTAGGTTTTCCTTCTAATGTTTTTTGTGTACCCTTCCATGGGTATTATAAGTTCAGTCATTTGACCCTATAAATCATATATAGGCATGTCCGGTCAAAAAATAAATTTTCGAATTTTTTTATTTTTCAAAATTTGAAAAAAAGATAAGGGGTTACATCGTTACAATTGTCAAAAATGTTCTTAAATTAAAAATTAGGTATGCAGATTTATTAATCTAAGAAAAACTAGCAAAGAAAAGCTTTCCGAAATTAAATTAATGCATTTTTGGCTTAGTTATGCTTTCTTTAAATTTGTAATTTTTCGAAAAATTTTGACATATAAAAAATATGGATAAATATTAATTCTTAGCTTAGTTTTAAGCGATTTTTGATTTGATCCTATAGCTAAATTGCAAATTGCAAAGTTATATAAACTTCGGCTTCCCGAACTTTACTTTTCTTTCTTGTTTTCGTATTTTTTGGCCATTCTGCATGAGCTGAAGCCATTGCCAGCGATTTGATTCGAATTCATCATTTCACCAATTGATTTTTCCAGCGTCACACATACTGATCGATCTGAGATCATTGAACTTTTTAGGGGGAATTAAATCATTTTAATTACGAAATAGTGCCAGATGTGAAGCAGAATAATGCGTCAGATACTTGCAGCAATAGCTCTTTAAGTATTTATAAACTCCTTTCAACACAAATTGACACTAAGGAAAGTACAGAACCCTTTCAAGGAACTAAAGTAAAGCTGGATTGTCTTCAAATCAGGCCACCAACTTTCTAATTAAAGCAAGAACACCTCTCAGCTTTTAACTAATTATTCCAATGTCTTTACTATTGAAAAGGTTATCACCGAATTCAGATTCGAATTCATCATTTCACCAATTGATTTTCCACTGATCGATCGATCGATCGATTGCTGTGAAAGATCGTTGAACTTTTCCGGGGAAATTAAATAATTTCGATTTCGAAACGATGCCAGAGTGAGATGTGGAGCAGTGAAATACGTCAGATACTTGCATCAATTGCCGGCCAAAGTTAATTGATTACACACGCAAGCAGCTGGCTTTTAGGAGAGTTTTGCAAGCGTTTCGCCGCTGCCTTTTCACAGCTGTCTGCGAAAATTGTCGCGGAAAAGAATCCGGAGAAGAAAAGCGAAATCAAAGCTCCCCAGCAGCTACTGTTCATATTAATTAGCATATGAGCGCGAGCGAATGCCAGGTCGACCGACCAATTATCGTAATGATGCTCAAGCGCAATTCACTTAAAATCCCCGACACGTCGCCGGATAATGGCACATTCATCATGCAGGCCATATACACCCGGCTATTACACGGCTATACGAATTTATGGAGGTTCTTGGGGTCTGGGGAGACCGGAACATCCAAGTTCCGAGCATTAAGCGATAAGGCAAGGCGTAAAAGACAAGGCCACTATCTAGTTAATATGCAGACATCGCAGGAAACCCCGGAACCCCTCTGATAATTCTAGACTGGCGCTCCTCTGGAGAATCTTTAATTATTAACGACGATATACCCGAAAATTGCCTGGGAACATTAAGTATTTAATTTATCACCATTGGGACCCGGGGCCCAAGGCGACCTTCTCTTCTTCTCCATTACAAGTCAGAGGAGAGTGGAGGAGAGATGCCATGGTCTGGTCTGTGTTGTTTGTTTGGAAAATTTTTAAAATATGCCGCCTGCTTGACCTCAGCGATCTCTCACATAGACGCAAGTGTGATGTGCTGTGTGTCTGGTATCTGGGAATTTTGTAAGAGTTTCCAAAAGTATCTCGAAGACGGCAGCGCCCGAAAATAGAATTGCTTCATTTCTAATGATATATTAACTAATGCCCATTAAAATGTAGAAAGCAAAAAGCGCCTATTTTTCCCTCGGCAAACAAACAAGGAAGGAAAAGGAGGGACTAGAAAAGCAGGGAAAGTGTTTTCGGTTAAGGTTAAGTGAGCAAAAGCCAAAAGAAAAGCAAAAGGCGGATGCCAAAATCATTTTTGGCAAAGTATCAAGATTGAAAAGCTTTTGACAAATTCTGTAATTTATTTGAAGCGAGTGTGGTGGTATTTTCAAGAGCACCTGATCGCCGCATTTTCTCTATCTCTCTATAGATAAATGGAGGAAATGCTCCAAACATATTTACACAGCACAAATCGCAATCAAATTAAACTACAAGTAAATATTTACAAAATTGTGCAACTTAGTTCGAGTGATTAAAAGGGGAGAAGGGGGAATTTAAACACTAATCGAGCAAGTGGCGCAGCTGCAAAAAATTAAATAACACAAAAGAAAATGAATGAATTCCTGCCAAAAAATATACATAGGTATTTAAATACTTTCAAAATCCCTATAAGCCTTTTTAATATATAGTTCTTTGGTTGGAATTAAATGTTGTTTAGTTTGCATATGTAATAAAAAGTTCTTAGTTTATTTATTTATGAGCTAAAAAGATTTTAAGATTCATTTTGAAAGCATTTCAAAGTTGTTTGGTATAAGGAGGGCACAATAGATATTGTTTAGTATTTGTAAGTACATTACATTTTAAAAACAGTTTTTTTCAAGCAATAGACGGCGTTCAGGTGATAAAAAAATATAATAGAAAGTTTTAATATATATCAATTTAAGCAACGCAAAACTTGCAAAGAATGAATAGAAATAGAATTTTAATTAAATTGATATTGAAATTGGAAAACCAATTAAAACCAGAGATCGCCTTTGAAAAGTAAACTCAAGGCTAAGTTTAATTTATAATCCCATAAAGATCAATTAAAAATGGTGCTACAACACTTTGTAAAAAAAAGAAACAAACCACATAAATTTGTTTTTTAGACGAGGAAAATAAAGTAGTGCAGATTATGGGCTAAACAAATACAATAAAATTGAAGGGAGCAGGAGAAGGGCAGGTGGAAAAACCTTGCTATGGAAACAGTCGAACAAATTTTCCGAGAGAAAACTGATCGCGATTGCGACAGGGAGAGCAAGCGAGAAAAACTCAGTGGAAAAACAAGTTAGAGTCAACGGTCTTTGAGAACCGGTTTTCTTGATGTCTCTCATACCAGCCAAAAACATTTTGTGTTTTGTTTTGCTTTCAAGTCTGTTTGGCCCACATAATGGGCCAAGACCGACTCTACCCTGCACCGCAGCCCTCACCCACGCCCCTTAGGTAGGTAGCCGTTGAGGCAAATACCAATTACAGTGGAACTTCAATAGCTCTAGCTTAAGTAATCTTTACAATTCTTAATCTGAGATCTTGCAGATTTGATGCCAATAAAATTCAAACAAGAAAATGAATACTTTAATAATAAAAAATATATAAAATGTCTTCAGTCTTCTGCTATGTAGAAGTTCCACTGTGGCAAATAGCCAAGTGTCAAGACATTGAAGATTGAAGCCGTCAACAAATTTGGGCAGCAAAAACGCGCGGGAATTTCAAATATTTTTAGAGGCTTAACCCGAAATTATGTACGAGTATGTGAGAATGGGGCAGTGGCTCCCAACATAAATTAAATATTTAATGTGCGACCAAGGGAAGTCATTATCTTACAGAAAAGAAGAAGCAGAGAAGGAACATGGCGTGTCCAAGTGGGAGTCGCGTGCCTCGGGGGGCTGGTCATAAATCTGGTAATCCGGCACAGGACGTGGGGGAATTGGCAGTAGGAGACACTTGTGTCAACTATTTGTTTGCGTAATTTGCTTATCTTTGTGCGGCCATCCATTTTAATTGCACGCGCTTGGAGACCTAATTATTTTAAGCGCGATTTTAAACGCGTGCGAAACGCACTCTCGGGGCGATGAGCTGAGCCAAAGCTGGGTAAGCCAGGCCAGGTGATTCAAACAGCTGCCATCGGGCTAATTTGATTGCTTGGCCAACGAAACGCGATTCAGCAACAAATTCTAACACAAAAAGATTTTATTTTCGCCTAGAACGTTGGACTTCTAGCTGGAGTTTGGCACTTGGGGAAAATATCCACAAGATACATTACAAATTTGAGCAAGAAATAACCTTATATATGTATATTTTGGCACAAACATTTAGAAACATTTCATATATTTAAAGTATTTTTAAAAAGGGAAATTAAAATTTTTCAACAGCTTTTAAATTTCATTTTTCATGTCTATAAGTATGAAAACATATTAGTTTTTTTTAATATATACAACAAGTTTAGGTAAGGAAAGAAAATTGTAGATTTAAGTATATAAAGAAATGAGCGAGAAACATTTTTAAAGTCCCTGAGATTAATGTGGAGTTCGTATAAAGTGCAGAACAACTTATAGCTTTTTTCTCGAGTGTATTTTTTCTCCAGGGCAAGAAACGAAAAAAAAATAAAGTCTCACGCTGCGTGGAAATGGACACCAAAGCGAAAAAAAAACAACTGATTAATGTAGCCACCTCAAGTTTTTCAGCGTTTTTCATTCATATGCAAAATGTCGAATGGTAACAAGTTAAGATTATTTCGCTGAGCTCATCACGAAATCGAAAAACAAAACAAACTAAAGGCAAATACAAAAATACGTTATTTGTATTGCGGGATGATGCCGCGGTTGTTATATAATAATTATACTCAAATTATATAGACGTCGAGCGAACAGGTTTCCCAAGTCCCTGCCATCTCTCTGACTATTCTGACAAAAATAAACACAAATAAATGCAAACTGCAGGTGCAGCTGGGAGATCTAAGTGGGAATGTGGCATTTAGACAGTATTTTAATTGTTCAATTAAATACGAGATGATCCCGCGGCATTTCTTGGCGCAATTTATAGAATATTTATTAGCGTTGTTGTTAACGCTACATAAATTATGCCGATGAATTATGAAAATTTTATTAATTTAATAAAATTTCTTGAGACACACACGAACAACACACACCTTTAACTTAAATGCTTTGCCTAAACAATTGAATTCAAGTTTGGGCTATTTTTTAAATAGAGCGACTTTAACCGCACGACGCGACCGCTGAACGTTCGAAACGGAACTAAAAACCGCCTCGAAATCGCCTTGCCAAGTAGCCTCATTCTCTCTGTCGCCGCACAGTGGGCGAAATAGATAATATATCGTGAGCAAAATAATGGTTTAGAATGTTTTACAAAAATATATGAAAAGTTTTAATTTTTAAAACATAAAATTGAGTATGCAGATTTATTAACCTAATAAAAACCAACATAGGAAAGGTTTTCGAATGTAAATTAATGCATTTTTGACTTAGTTATGATGAATTTCCTCTGCAAGGGTATAGAAATTTCAGTTTTCCGAAGTTCGCTCCTTGTTTTATTAGCATTTCTTTGCTTTCCTTAAATCATATCTTAAATAAATAGAATATTTATATTCATTAGTGAATTAATTGCACCATCTAAGCCAAAGTCATCTACTGTGCTACCCTCAAGTTCGCTCCCTGATAGATGATAGCGATAAGCGATCTTAGAGGTAAGAGCAGGTGATATACATTGTCAGCTTAGGATTAATTAAATGCATTTTTTCGGGCCTTTTAAGTCTCTGAAAAAATAATAGTTTAATTACTCATATATGGCTTGACTGTTCTTCTCTCCATATTAATTTAATTTGTTTTAGTACTTATTGTTTTTTATTTTTGTCATTTCTAAAAATGCAGTGCTCCTTTTTGGGCTTATCTAAATCAGATTTTCCTAAGTGGGAATTTCTGTAATTACATTACATTAGCGTTTTGTCACAACAATTTGTTTAATTTGCTATCTTTCCCTCTAGTTTTATATCACATGAAACACGAAACTCGCATAATAAAACGCAATTTTTGTTGAGTAGCGAAAATGCGCAAACTGAACATCATTTTTTGGCGCTAATACAAAAGTAATATTTATTATTTACCTATAATTTGGTCTTTATAAAATCTAGACTCTTGAACTTGTTTTCCTAGCTCTACTGTCGCTTCTTTCGATAAGACAAACAATAGATGGTCATCAAAGTCCAACTCTACTGGGACAGACGTTCAAGTTTACTACCCTGAAGGCGCTGCGCTAATCACATTTGCCTGATAACAACAACTTCCAATGGGAGTATATAAAGATCCTTAATATAGATTTCGGTTGAAATATCATCACATGTTTTCTCTTCGGAGATAAGTAATTGATTGTTGGCGTCAAACCCGTGCAATCTGGTTCCCAAACAAAAAGATTATAAAACTAAGTGACATCTTGAAGTACCAGTGATCCATTTTGAATGCCACAATCGTAACTATGATGACGATTCTCAAGGATTTATTTACGTCATACCGCTAAGGCAGGAGAAGTGGGAATTACGCATCATTACCGCCATAATCAGATAATAGAATTAAGTTATGGGTGTTCTTGAGAATTTTCAATTGGGAATCACTACTTTGACCATCGAACTTATTGTGTTGTGTTAATAAACTAAAACAAGAAAAGAAGCTAAAGTAGTCCGATAGCCATACAATTGAAAACCAAATTTTAGATTTATATATAATGACTATATATTAAATTTGATGAAAATCTGATGAAAACTGAAAAAGTTATATTTTTTCTTAAAATTTTCTGATTGTTCCTATGGCAGCTATATATATGTATATATATAGTCCTCCGATTTGGCATACTCCGATTTATATGATCGTAAAATTATATAGAAGAATAACTCCATAGTTTCATTTAAATAGCTTGCTCTTAAATTTGTTCCAAAACAAATCTCGCACATGAACATATGATTCCCAACTCGTTCTAACATCCCCGGAATGAAGCTACTGCTGCCGGCCATGTATCAGAAATGTGTTGTTTCAAAAGTTGCAAGTCATTGTTGATTAGTGTTCAAAGTAAGTAACTGATTATACATACTTACTGGTCATAGATACTTACTGATCATAGTTACTACTGGTCATAGATAATCGCTGTTCAGAGTTACTTACTGGTCATAGATAATCACTGTTCAGAGTTACTTACTGCTCATAGGTAATTGCTGATCATAGTTCTTAATCGTCCGATTGTTCCTATGACAGCTATATATATGTTTATATATAGTCCACCGATTCGCCATGAACCGATTTATATGCCCGTAAAATTATATAGAAGAATAACTCCATAGTTTCATTCAAATTGCTTGCTCTTAAATTTGTTACAAAACAAATCTCGCACATGAACATATGATTCCCAACTTGTTCAAACATCCCCGGAATGAAGCGACTGCTGCCTGCCATGTATCAGAAATCTGTTGTGTTACAAAAGTTGCAAGTCATTGTTTATTAGTGTTCAAAGTTAGTAACTCATCATACTTACTTACTGGTCATAGATACTTACTGATCATATTTACTTACTGCTCATAGATAACCCCTGTTCAGAGTTACTTACTGATCATAGATAATCACTGTTCAGAGTTACTTACTGATCATAGATAATCACTGTTCAGAGTTACTTACTGATCCTAGATAATCACTGTTCAGAGTTACTTACTGATCATAGATAATCACTGTTCAGAGTTACTTACTGCTCATAGGTAATTACTGATCATAGTTCTTAATCGTCCGATTGTTCCTATGACAGCTATATATATGTTTATATATAGTCCACCGATTCGCCATGAACCGATTTATATGCCCGTAAAATTATATAGAAGAATAACTCCATAGTTTCATTCAAATTGCTTGCTCTTAAATTTATTCCAAAACAAATTTCGCACATGAACATATGATTCCCAACTTGTTCAAACATCCCCGGAATGAAGCGACTGCTGCCTGCCATGTATCAGAAATGTGTTGTGTTACAAAAGTTGCAAGTCATTGTTTATTAGTGTTCAAAGTGATTATACATACTTACTGGTCATAGATACTTACTGAACATAGGTTCTTACCGGACATTGAAATATATATATATATATATAAATACTTAATATATATACTTCCTAAATATTTTTTGAACAAAGAATTTAAAAGAAATTCCAAATTGAGCAAAGCGTTTCAAATAATTGCGCGCTAGAGCACATCTATTAATGCAAAATAATCCAAGTTCCTTGTTTTACAATGTAAAAACAAATTTTACTTTTAGTTTTTTCATTACGTTTGTCATGTCGTGACACAGCTTTTAACTTTGATAACAAGGGGGCGTTATGGTGCAGTCTTTTCATGTATCTATTTTATTTCGGTTGTTTATGATCCTGCAACCTGGTCTCACTAAAACAATGAAAATAGAGGTGCAAAACTATCGATGTGTCGAGTCATCGATGTTTTTATCGATATTCCTCCACCTCTAATCGCCGCTGTGACGCAGAATTTTGTAAAAAAAGGAAAACTTGTAAAATTGGTGTAATTTCGCGTTCTTGAAGCTGCAATTGCTATTGAAAAGTGAAGCAAAAGTGGCACTAGACCGGTGTCCACGCAGTTAATGCCAAGAGCAGCCAGTGAGTGTTGATTTGCCAGCAATTCGGCGTCGGATTCTCACCTGGCCGATCGATCGGCGTTTTTTCTCTATATTTTTCTCGGTCTCTGTCGCCGCCTGTCTCTGTCTGCTGGCTGTCTGTGTGTGTGTGTGCGTGGGTGCTCCGCGGGACTGCTGGTTGCATTTTTTGTTGTGTAGGTAAACAAACGCCGCTGATGCGCGAGATGGCGGATCTGGACGCAGTGCACCTGGGGCTGGACGAGAACGAGGCGGACATAGCCGAGGAGCTGCAGGACTTTGAGTTCAACACACGCAGCGAGGCCTCGGAGTCGAATGGCGGCGATTCCACGGACTCGGAGCCGAGTATAAGTTCGGTGAGCACCGCCACCTCCTCGCTGGTGGGCAGTGGCAAGCGGAAGACCAAGAAGCTGGCCAAGGAGTCCCCAGCACCAGAGACGAAGCCTGCGAAAGGCTCCAAGGCGAAGAACAAGCGGGAAACCACGCCGGAGGAGGTGAATGGCAGCAGCAAGAACCAGAAAAGAGAACAGAAAAAGCGCACTGGCAGCGAGTCAGCCAAGAAGTCCGCATCGGACACGTCCGAGAAGCCCAAGGCCAAGTCCCCGTCCAGCGAGGATCGTGAGCAGCCGCCTGTTAAGAAGGCGAGAGGCAAGAAGATATCCTCTAATACGGCCAACGAATCCATCGGCCACAAGAGCGATGGCAGCGAGGCCGAGGACGAAACACCAGCGCTTCCATCCCTAGAGTCCGATAGCGAGTCCTCCGACTCAGATTCGGGCACCCAACACAAGCGAAACGTGGGCAACGGGCGCGGCAAAACCAGTTCCAAGAGCTCAACGCCCGAGAAGGACACCGGACCGCCAACGCACTCACAGAAGGGCTACGACTACATGACCAAGCTCAACTATCTCTTCCGGGACACGCGCTTCTTCCTCATCAAGTCCAACAACAGTGACAACGTCCAGCTGTCCAAGAGCAAGAGCGTATGGGCCACTCTGCCGCAGAACGATGCCAATCTGAATCAGGCCTTCAAGGAGGCCAGGAACGTGTTGCTCATCTTCTCGGTGAACGAGAGCGGTAAGTTGATCATTCTGGTTTATATTTCCCAGTGCTTGGTGTTGGGTTTTAAGTTCTAGTAGATTTATTTGATGTTGTTATTTTAGTTTAATTTAGTCAGCTGATTCAATGCGTATTTATTTTAATTATTACTTCAAGTGAATTAAATTCCATAGTATTTTTATACCCTTATATTATTATAATTTTAATCAGAAGCTTGTAATTATGTGAAGGAGTCATTTCCGACCCTATAAATCAAATATATTCTTGATCGGCATTGACTTAGTTATGTGTTTTTTGAGTTAAAGAATATCCATTATTTATAATAGATTTCCGATTCGATCTTATAATTCAATTTGCAAACAGCAAGGGAATATAAAACTTCGGCTTTCCGAATTACTTTATTTAAAACTTCATTTTATTTAGAAGTAATTGTATATTTATCATTATTTAATTCAGCATTATTGACTGTGTACTGGGAATATTTGTATTGATTAGGACACTGTTTGGTTCGTAGCTGGGGTTTTCCGGGACTCTGTTGTTGTTTTGATTAATATTATTATTAAATAGTAACTATTTTGTTTATTACTAGGTTAGTTATTATCTCAGCTGCTTACCTGCGTTGTTATTTGCGTAACTTTCCGTAACTCAACCTTAGCTCAAGCAAAACGTATTTTGTTTACTGAAACTCGATCAGGAAAGAATCCCAGTGACATATTGTCGAAAGAGAGTTAAGGTTTTTCCAGTAGTTTCATAGACTGCACCTCGTTTTAATACATTACTTCAACTAGTTTACGAAAGCTAATAATTGTTGATTGTCTTAAATCCTTTCTGCTTGCAGGTAAATTTGCAGGATTCGCGCGAATGGCGGCTCCGTCACGGCGGGACATACCCCAGGTAGCCTGGGTGCTGCCGCCAAGCATTTCGCCCAAGGCGCTGGGCGGCGTCATCGAGCTGGACTGGATTTGCCGCAAGGAGCTTTCCTTTAATGCCACCCTACATTTGCACAACACCTGGAACGAGGGCAAGCCGGTGAAGATCGGTCGGGACGGTCAAGAGATCGAGCCCAAGATCGGAGGCGAGCTGTGCCGCCTCTTTCCCGAGGACGAGCAGATCGAACTCACGCCCATACTCAAGAAATCCAAGGAGACGGCCCGAGTGATGCGGGAGAAGGGCATCCACGTGATTTACAAGCCGCCTCGGAGTCTCTCTTCACGTGGACACGGCGGCGGCGGCGGAGGTGGCCGTGGAGGCCGTGGAGCAGGCCACGACCAGCTGGGCCCGATGCGGCACAAGAGGAGCTACCACGGACCACCGCACCACCGTCCATATCGTCACCATCATGGCATGGGCATGCCGCCGTCCCATGGCGGTGGTTTCAAGCGCAGCGGTTCTCCCTACCGCCAAATGGGAAGCGGCGCCGGCGGAGCGCCCGGAGGTCCCAGCGAAATGACCATGCCCTCGTGGGAACGCTACATGTCATCAGCAGCAGCCGCAGAGGCATATGTGGCGGACTACATGCGGAATATGCACGGTCAGCTTCCGCCACTGCCGTTCGTTCCACCGTTTGCACAGCTCCCCATGCCCGGAGCCGGAGCGGGAGCGGCTGGTGCCCTGCAACCGAGCGCTGCAGCGGCCATGTACGAACAGCTGCCGCCACCGGTGCGATACTACGACGGACCTGGAGCACCGCCACTGCCGGACTATCCGCCCCCACAGCGGCCACCGCCGCCCGGTTTTGATAAGGCGCCAAGCTACGAGGAGTTTGCCGCCTGGAAGAACGCTGGCCTGCCCACAGTGCCGCCGCCAGGCTTTCCCGTTTACGGCGGAGCCCCCAATGGTGGCAGCAACGGTGCTGGCGGATCAGTGGGCGTTGGCCAGGCGGCAGGCGCCAGTGGAGGCATGGGACCGGGCGTTGGCAGCGGCGGCGGAGGCGGTGCTTCCGGTCTGGGCGGACCTGGTGGCTACCGGAATCGGGATGGCAACAACGGCGGCTCCGCGGGCACGCGTCGTCGGGAGTACGGAAATCGCAGTGGCGGCTCATCGAGGGACTCGAGACCCTTTCGCGGTGAACGTGGCGGCGGCGGCCAGCGAAACTATCGGGACAACAGGCGCTAGGCGGGATCGGGGCAACGCTAAAATCGCTAGAATCGGAAAGTGTAATCCTAATTGTCTCGCGCGTGTGCAAAATGCAATGAGAAATGCTGAAAACGCGCATCGGTATAAGCAAAAAGTAAAAAGTTAATACGAATTAGTAGATCGGAACCCAACGGGGAACCCCCTAACCCTATGAATACAGCTATCGTCTGCGAATCGATACAACAACAACAACAACAACTCTCTTTCCCCCAATTTCTCTCCAAGCTACACCCTCCCCCAACCACCACCAACTCCACATTATGATTTAAACATAGACTTACGACCTAAGCAAATTTCAAAACAGCAAATTACATGCTAAATTAAATATTTTAAACAAAAAAAAAATACAAAATGAAAGAGAGAGAGAGAAATTGTGAACTTTATTTACCCAAAACAAAATCTCAAAAAAAGAAGAAAAGAAAGAAAATCAAAGAGAGACTTTAAGAGACGCCCAACAACAACAACCAACAACAGCAACAAATACCATGAACGAACTTAAGCTAATAGAGATAGCAAACAGTGCAAACAGTGATGTGTGTAATGTGTGTGTCAAACCCCACCCAACCCCGTAAACCGCAAGAAAACCCAGAGAGTTGGACACAACAGGGAATGGGAATACGTCAAAAAAGCCCGAAAACTAAACGGGAGTAAAATACCCCCGAGCATGAGCAAGAGACTTTCACAGACGACAGGACCCAGTCCCTTCGTCGTCTGTCGCTTTCGATCCGATCTAAGCTTCCTTATACGTAGTATAAAACTAATGCAAACCATATTTAACCATTTTACATGTCTCGCCGACAGAAGACCGTCCCAGAAACAGACACACATCCGCCTCCACCTCGGGCCCGGACATCATCCGTGGCTCCGTCGCCTCGGTCCCACTTTGGTCCTTGGCCCTTCCGTAGAAATCCGGACCACTAGCCATTCGAACTGTTTAACCGACTTGGCCGAAAACGCCTTCCCAATTTAATTCCACTCAAAATAAGACTGCCACATTTTCTCGCTCTTGACAAGCGTTGACCGCTGACAAACACATTCCCGGACAGACCTAGGGATGTTTGTTTCTTTGCAGGATTCGTGATACTCGTTTTTGGATAATGGATTTGCAAAAGCAAAATGGATGGCCAAATGAATCGACTCATAAAGACTGATGATAAATAAAGACTGGAGCTGATAAAAAATATTTAACAATGTTTATTAAAGTCTTAATTTATAAGTTTAATTTGGGTTACCAGTCAAAGCTGCTGTTAAAGCTATTGTAAAGCTAACAACTTCTGTAAACTCTTTCAATAACCTTTTATACCACGAATTCTAAGAATTGTAAAGACTGCTTGGCCATAAAGCTGTGTAAAAGACGAGTTGTTATCAAAGTTATATTTGATTTCCTGTCTTAACGGCATATACGATGATGCACCATGTAGACGCACTCTTATCTGATTTTCCTGTACTTCGCTATAAACTCTTATTTATCTGCAGTATATTTTTTATAGGTTTCTGATAAAACAAACAAAGCTTCGTTCTGCTTGTTTACTAAAGTGTCCCAGGTTAGTTTCTGGGTTCAACCTTAATCAACACGTATTGACTTTGCCTCCTAATGACTAGTCTTTCAAGATAAGTCAGTTACAACTTTATTAAGCTCTTAACTAATGACTGCAACTTTTGTAAAAATAGAAACCAAGACTCTTTGATCAAGGAGGCTTTTATGAAGCCTCTGATTTATTTGCACATTTCAATAAACTGATATAAAATTCGGATTGGGTTGATATAGACTCAACATCCTTCGCACCAGCACTTGAGGCTGGGGCTGCAGTGTCCACTGGTTCGTCCTTCCTCCTTGCAAACCCGTCTACAGGTTTCATTGTCCCAGACTGCGCAAGGACCCTTATATCTGCCGGAAGGGCAGTCGGCTTCAACCGTGCTGGAGCCCAGGAATACTACCGCCAACAAGGCGAACAAAAGGTGAATAAGTCTGATTTGAACCATTTCAACTTTTGACTTTTGAGAGAGCAAATATGTAATTGCGAAGTTACTGGAAGCGTTTGAACTCCACAACACCAGGAGCCGCTTATATAGGCGCCGGACATACTCACTATCAACCATTTGAGCAAATAGAGTCGGGACGAAAACAACAACAAATATTTTCAATTTGTTAAGCAATTAGTTTATCTCTTTATTTTCTCAATTTGTTAATTTGCATTCACGAAAGCACTTAGTTTACGATAGACAGCTAAATGATAAATTGGAACTTCAAAACATTTTAAATCTGAGTAAACAACTTTTACGTTTCTGTTCCGTTGTTTCTTAACAGTTACAGTTAATACAATTCATACGCGGTGAACTTCTTTATTTTTTAATATTTATTCATATTCGTTCATACATTAAAAGTAAAACTACTGATATAGAAATGCCTTGGCAACCTCCGCAGCAGTACTTCAGGCAGACGTTTGTGTTTAAAATAGCATAAAATTTAAAAAAAACTCATAACTGAGCCAAAAAGCCATTGATTTTAAATCGGGAAGCTTTACTTTATTATTATACCCTTGCAGGGTATTATAATTTCAGTCAGAAGTTTGCAACGCAGTGAAGGAATAATTTTCTTAATACCTTTGAAGTTAGCTAAGTATTAAGAGGTCAAATATTAAATATATTATAACTAAGCCAAAAATGCATTAATTTCAGTTTTTATTAGGGTAACAAATCTGCATACTCAATTTAAAAATTAAAAAAATTTAAATTTTCGTAAATTTTTCACCATTTTAACGATACCTCTTATAAAAATTTAAAATTGTCAAAAAATTTGAACAAATTAAATTTATGCCGGACCTGGCTAGATCGAGTCGGCTGTTGATGCTGATCAAGAATATATATGAATAATAGGATCGGAAATGACTCCTTCACTAAGTTTCAAGCTTTCGACTGAAAGATAGGCTTTGTTTAACTATTTGGTATATAGAGCGCTCTCCTCTGCGATTCTCAAGTCTTACACTTAAGCAAGGCTCTAGCTAGAGGAAGTTTAGTTTTCTTCTTCTTCTTTTATATAAATTACTAATTTAGTGCTTGGTGGTTGATAGACTTTGATCAAGTGGATGTGGCAACCATGGCTAGTTCGAGTCGGCTGTTGATGCTGATCAAGAATATATATGAATAATAGGATCGGAAATGACTCCATCACTAAGTTTCAAGCTTTCGACTGAAAGATAGGCTTTGTTTAACTATTTGGTATATAGAGCGCTCTCCTCTGCGATTCTCAAGTCTTACACTTAAGCAAGGCTCTAGCTAGAGAAAGTTTAGTTTTCTTCTTCTTTTATATAAATTACTAATTTAGTGCTTGGTGGTTGATAGACTTTGATCAAGTGGATGTGGCAACCATGGCTAGATCGAGTCGGCTGATGATGTCCTCCCCAAATTGTGTTAGATCAACTCAGCTTTTCATGCTGATCAAGAATACATATATATGATTTATGAGGTCGGAAATGACTTTTACATCGTTACAATCTTCTGACTAAAATAGAAATACCCTTCAAATACCCTGGGAATAGGTATAGGTAGGTATACCTTCCCAAGTAAATGATTATCTTTTGGAAGTTTTAGCTCCTAACTGATGGACTTAACTTTGTTAAAATAGAAACAAAGAAAACTTTATGAACCAAAAAAGATACTTTTTTAAAGCCAATGATTTTTTTTACATTTCATTTAATTGATATAAAATACAGGTTGGTTTGATATAGACTCAACATCCCTAATTTTTTATTTCTTTATTTGCTTTACTGAATGTTATGTTGGACAGCAATAAGTTGCAACTTGATAATGTTTTAGGTTAAAGCAAACGTCTCTAAGGTTTCTCTTTATTCGTTTTTAAATAAAAATAAAATGTTTATGGAATTTCCCGTAGACAATTCATTTTAAATGTATAAGTAAAACTTTTTTTATTTAATTTTTTTTTATTCATTCATTGAAAGAATATGCACTGAAATAGAGCTGCCTTAGCACCCTTCGCACCAGCACTTTAGGCTGGGACTGCAGTGTCCAGTTTGACGGTTCTCCTCCCTGCAGATACGTCTGCAAAGCTCATTATCCCAAACAGCACAAGGTCCTTTATACTTTCCAGACAGGCAGTCGGCTTCTGCCATTTGGGAGCCCAGGACAACGAGAGTCATCAGAGCGAAAAGAAAGTATAGAAACTTGATCTGCACCATCTTGAGTTAGTGTATTATGATTACTCGATGACTTCTGAACAGCGAATGCATTTCGCAAGCCACATATGAGCTTTTATAGGCTTCCAATCCCTCGATGCCGGAGGGAAGACCACTTGATAAGAATACAAAAGGTAGCAACCGCTTCTTTGTTAGACTGTGGAAAACCCATATTTATTTAATATTGATTGTGGAAATCTCAGGTAAATAAAAAGGAAGCTGAAGTATATAAGAGTTGCAAAGGGTCAAATAGTTGCATATTGTACACTTTAATATTTGAATTATTTTTTATATAGTTGCTTTATTGCACAATTTATATTATTTAATAGAGATATTTATCAAGGTTACTTAATATAATAAATTATCTGTAATATTACACTCCATTCTTAACCTAGAAAGAAAGCATGGCCTTAATTTATTTCATTTTATCTGTTAGTTTTTTTAATAATTATGAAATTTTTGTTCATCTTTAACGTATACCCATTTTTTAACACTGCAGCTTGACCTTACAATAATACCTTATGACAAGAATATAATAGGTGGTCGCAAGCTAATCTTTATTAAACTGTGAAATCCCCAGACTTATTTAATAATGATTGAGAAAATCCCAAGTAATAATATTAAACAGGATGATGAATAAGATAGGAATTGAACAAATAACAAGAAATGAAACTAAAGCAAAAGTTTATATACCCTTAAAGTTTCAAAGCTAAAAAACTCAGAACTAAGCCAAATATAAATTAATTTCAATTCGAAAAGCTTTCCTATGTTAGTTTTTAGCATTAAATCTGCATACTAAATTTAACAATTTATAAAATTCAAATTTTTTTAACAATTTCTGAAAATTTTAACGAAAAAATTATAACCCCTTATCGTTTTGAATTTTTGGATATATATGGTTTATAGGGTCGGAAATGACTCCTTCGATGTGTTTTAAACTTCTGACTGAAATGAGATTACCATATTTTGGGTATAAAAAAAATGGGAACAGATATTCCGAAGTCCAAATCAGAATACTCTTCTCTTGATTAGAAATTTGGTGTCCTTTCCGTATTATTCTATTATTCATTATTTTATTAGATTATAGTATTTTGTAATGCAGAATTTTTTTCTAGATAAATTCTAACCAAAAACCGACATCATTTGAATGGGTTTTTATTGATATTCTTAAATACGCCAAATTTTCCGGCAAACCAAATTCTAAAAAATGCATAACTATGTCAAAAATGCATTAAATTCAATTTGGAAAGCTGTTCTGTGCTAGTTTTAATAAGCTTAACAAATCTGCATACTGATGTAACCCCTTATCGTTTTTTTAAATTTTGAAAAATTTTCAAAAATTTATTTTTTTTCCAAACATGCATAGATCGATTCGGCTGTTGATTCTGATCAAGAATATATATGGTTTATAGGGTCGGAAATAATTCCTTCACTTCGTTTAAAGCTTTCGTTTTGATATTAAAATTTCTTTTATTTAAGATAAATCTAGCATACGTAGCGTATACTTAACGTGAAAACCTTACCTCGTCTACATTATAATCATTAAGGTAGGTCATTATCATTAAAAGTACCGTAGCTTTGAGTCTCAGCCCAAAAGTATGACCCACATCAAGTTTCAGACTTCAACCGTCCAGATCTTCGTCTGTTTGTCGTGAAAAGATGCATTTCATAAAATAACCTTTAAGATACATTCCCTTCAGTTCCTTAAATTCGATCCTGTGATAATCCAAAGAAAAATCTCTTACAATATGTGTAATATTTATTATTAATTGTTTATGGTTCTTTTTCTTTTACGAAAATTAAATATAATCATACAACGAACAAACTTACAGATACATTTTATAATGCAATTAAAACATTGACTTTATATATATATATATTTCTTTTATACTTTCATTTATCGCTTTAGCTTTTAAGTAGACACACGTGAATTTTTTAACGTTTCTGATTTCGTTTTGTTTCTTTTTTCTTATTTAATTTGTTTGCCCTTGGCGCAGTAAGGTTGTGTATGTGTGTGGGATACAAATTAAATAATTATAATGTATATATTTATATAAAAAATACAAAAACAATTCGTCCTGGTTGGTTGATCGTGTCTGTCTCCTCTTAATTGTCTGAAAATTGCATCTGCTCTCATTGCGGCGGAACTTGACTGGACCGGCGCTTGTCCTTATCCTTCTCCTTCTCCTTGTCGCCCTTGCGTCCAAAGATTCGGAACATTCCGCTGCGTCGCTCCTCCTTGGTGCCCTTGCTGCTGCTTCCCTTCACACCCGAAACGGAGGATATAGACTGGGCCTCGCTCTCGCTGGAACTCTCCGCGGAGACGCGCGAGAAGCTGATGGAGTCGGGCTGCAGGGAGACGGGTCGGTTGCTCTCAAAGCGTGAGGTGCCCCAACCTGTAGGGATAAATAACAGAAGTGTTAGGGGAGGAAGTCTTTAGGTCAGCAAGTAGAGGTATCATGCACGAAATAGTATGTGGATAGCACAAAGTGGAGTTTCAGGAGGTGGACAAGCATTAAGAGGAATTATTCTTAGCTCTAGAGATAGGGAAAATGTTACATATTTAATCGAAATTCTAAAACTCGAACCAATATCTTCATATATTTATATGCAGCTTAGTTCGAGCTACAGAAAATTCGGTTAAGCATAGATTTTCCTAAAATATAAATAGAAAATACTTTGCAAACTCGTGCGGAGATAGGATCGCCGGGTTAGCTTGGCCGGCTTGAAAGTAGAGGAACCTTTTGAAAGGCACGCATGCAGTAAAAAATGAATAGAAAAGAGTAGAATATATATACATATAGAATAAGCCAAGGTCATCGGCAAACAGAGAAGATTATAAATACACAGATCTCAAATCCATAGCCATAACCATTAATTAATTCATGCAATTAATTTTACAAATGCAGGACCGATATTGGCCCTGTGTTTACGCAGATTGTGTTAGGATTAAGGATAAGATTCGTCTAACCACCGATTTCGTTTCCATTTGATTCGTTATTGTTATTCAGATGCAGACCCATATAGCTTGGATTACTGATTGCATTGTTAGGCTCCACAGAGCCGCCTGATGATGATTTGTTCGATTTGTTATGTGCCACACCGCTTGTTAAATTCCACACCGTGCTACTGCTCGAGGTCTCTTGGTAGGTGGTACTTGTGGTGCTGGTTGTGGTGGTGGTGGTGGAGCTGGTAAAAGTTGAAGAGCCTTGCTTCACATTACCATTGCCATTGCTGCTGGCCCCGCTGCTGGAGTAGTTGACGGTGGTCCTTTTGGGACTACTGCTGCTGCCTCCGCCGCTGCCATTGTTGTTGTGTGCCTCCATTTCGATAAACTTTCGCGTGGAGTCGATCCTGCCGGAGGGAACCCTCTGCTGCTGCTGCTGTTGCTGTTGTCTCGTCAGGTTGTTGTTGTAGTAATCCGGCTGACTAGCCGCCGCATTGAACGCATTGATCCGCTGCTGAACCTGCGCCTGCTGCTGCTGGTGGGAATGGGAATGCTGGGGATGCTTCTGGTGGCCACCCACAGGTGGCATTGTTGTTGGCAATGGCGGCGGATTATCTAATTGCGCATCGCATCGTTGTAGGAGGACAATTTTTGTACAATGTGAGTGAGGAATAATGTGGAGGTGTAGGTGACGATGGTGTATGGGACAGAAAGACACAAATGGCTGCCTTACAGCTACTTTCTTTTAAACTCACCCGATTGTCTGGCCTCGCTGTTACGTTTCAGCATCGCACTGTCATCCTTGCTGCTGTTCCCATTCTGTTGCGCTCCGCTGGAACCGCCGGCGGGCAAGGTGGCTGAACGGCCATCGGTTAGATCTGTGAATAATCCTTTTCAATTATGTAATCCTAAAAAATACACTGCATATCCGCATTACCATTGCTGGAACTCTGTCGATTGCGCAGCACAACTAGGTTCTCCTGGCTCTGACGACTACTGGCCACCGGTGGTGCTCCTCTTGGCGGAATAGGTGGCTTCTGGTCGAATCCAGCGCTGGGTGAACTTGGGGAACTGGGGTGGGATTGTTGTTGCTGCTGCTGCTGCTGCATCTGTCGCTGCAGGAAGGCCATTTGGGGAGTGGCTGTGCCATCCAGTATCTGGCCACCGCTGGTGCGACGCTGAGAGTCGGGCGAGGAGTTGCGGGAGCTGACGGGGGACTCCACGCTGCTGGTCACCTTGATGTCCGGCGAGCTGCTCGACTGTTGCTGCAGGAAGGAATAATATAAGTTAAAGAAGTTAATTTAATTAGGAGATGTTTACCTTCATAGACTCGTCGTAGCTAAGCAGCTGTAGGTTCGGTGGCAAACTGGCGTGGAAGGATATCTTGCGGACCCAATCGTTGAGGATATCTAGGGATGGAGCCTCAAACAGGAACTCGGAGCCGTCGGGCAGCTTCAGCCGGAAGACGTACTTCTTCTTGGTGTAATCCTCCGCCCTCTCGCACTTGGCTCCCAGGATGTTGACAGGCGCTGTGGCCGTCTTCTGTTGCAGGAAATCGTTTTCGTCCTTGAAGAAGCACACCAACTGGCCACAGAGCACAGTGTGGAATTGCTTCCACGAGCGCACAGGCGCCTTCTTGCCGCCCGACTGCAGTCCGTGCTTACGCTCCAGACTTCCCTGAATCTCAACGGGCGGCAGATCGAATCCTTCACCCTTTTGGTTCTTCCGGAAGGACTGAGCCCGCCGCCTGGTGGTAAACGAGGGCGTTCGCTTGGCCTGCTTGGGCTGTACCTTCATGCTTTCCGCACGCTTTACATTCGCATCTGCAGATCCGCGACGCAGTCGATCACCGAACATACCGCTGGAGCTGCTCTTCTGCAAGGCCAAATGCTCGTTCTCGTCGCTCAATTGTGGCCTCAACTGGGCCTGACCCACCGAGGGGGATTGAGCGCCGGCGCCAGCTGTCTGGGCTGGCGTCACCATGGGCGAGGAGAAGATCGGGGTCTTCTCCTGCGACGCTGCATTCTGACGATGCTCCTGCTGCTTCTCCGCTCGTCTCCGTTCATCCGCCAGGCGCTGCAGTTCCCG